CCCTAAATTTTACATCCTTGTTTCTGCTTCAGCGTAGACATTGTTCTCCACATTGAGAAGCCATAAAAGAATTTAGTTTCTCTTCTTCACCATAAATTCTCTAGAGACGATATCCCACCCACCAACTTTATCATATTAGCATTCTTGGGTTTTACATAGAGTGTTTCTTTGACCATAATCTGATTTTGTTTGTTTTCTTTGGGATTGGAATCTCAATGTGTTGTTCAAGCTGGCCTCAAACTCTTGGGCTCACCTCTGCCTCCCAAACAGCTGGGTCTACAGGCAGGTGCCACCAACCACACCTCTCCTGATCTTTCTTGTAGACACTCTTAAACTTGTGGTCAGGAGTGGTTTACTGGAGTAAGGCATATGGGGGTTTCTTGGAGAATCAAAAAGATTTTAGGAGATCATTTTTTACATGAACTAGTAGGACATCTCTGGCACAGACGAGGTAGACCTCATAATGCCTTTGTACATTTCTAAGATTGGAAGCTGGAACCAGGCATCAGTGCTGAGAACTGTGTTAAGTCCTGCTGCCAGCTCTGTTCCTATCATGCTGTGGAACCATCCTGGCTGATGTCCCGCTGTCCCAGACATAGACTAAGTCAGGCTGAGGGAAAGAATTGAAACTATTTTTACATGCACAGAACTGTTTGCCAGGGGACAAATCACCTTTCTCCTTAAGCGTTTCACATTTTTATTTCTGTTGTATGGGTTCTTAGTGGACTCTGCTCACATCCTTTTAACAGTAGGTTTTAAGTGGAGGTAATTGCCCACCACCTTCACTAAATGGTATTTGATTGTGGTTTTTGTTTGATTTTTTGATACAAGATCTCCTGTAGCCCAGGCTAGTCTTGAACTCCTTATTTAACCCAGGATGACCTTGAACTGACCCTCCTGCATTTCATTCCCAAGTGCTGAGGTTACAGGTTTGCATCACCATGTCTGAATCTTGACTCCTGCCTTAAAAAAAAAACCGTTGGGTTTAAGTAGAAAAATACATCCATGCAGTGCTCAGCACCACATACAGTGTTCTGTAAGACTTCTCCCTGATTTCCTTATTGTTTTTATTCCTCGTTATTATGGTTATAATTAGAAATGTTCCTTTTGTTCAGTGACATCAACAAAAGCTGGTGTGTACCGATTTGGGACCTGTTACAGTTCATCTAATTCATGGGCTAGAGAATCGGTTTAATAACAGGGTGGAAAGCAGAGGTTAAAATGAGATGCAGTGAGGCTTGATGTACTTGTGGAATAGGAAAAGGTACAGAATAATGAGATGGCAAGATGGCAAGTTTTTAAGTGAGAAAACGATACTCCATGTGGTGGTTTTGTGATTTTGCTTGACTTGAATGCTTCTGCGCCCCTCCCGTTTAATGGTGGAGGCTGCAGTGAACACCTGCATCAGGCAGGTGACAGCAGCGGCAGGCGGGGCCTCTGGTGTCACAGTGTTTGTGTAGCCCTTGTGCCCACTCTGGGTAGAGGCTGGTGACCAGGATCTGTCACCCTGCGAGAGCAGCCCCCAGGCCTGGGGAGTCTGAGAGCCTGTTGTTTCCCTGACTCTTTGACATCTCAATTGATCAGACATGTGTCTGTGGTCCTTCAAAGAAACATTGAAGAGAATAAATACATGCATTCTTTTCTCTGTGTTTATACACAAATGATGGTTTCAAGACAGGGTTTCTCTGTGTAGGTCTGGCTGTCCTGGAACGCACTCTGTAGACCATGCTGGCCTCGAACTCAAGAGATCTGCCCGCCTCTGCTTCCCAAGTGCTAGAACTAAATATGTGTACACCACCATGTTTAACATATATATATATATATATATACATATATATATGTATATATATATACATATATTTTATCTGTTCTTTATTTTTTTACTGCTTAGTGATTTGTTTGGTTCACACATAAAATATCTCAGACATTTTCCCATATTAATTCTTCACTCATTAAAAAAAAAAAGTAAGATTGGGGGCTGGAGAAGTGGCTCAGCAGTTAAGAGCATTGGCTGCTTTTCCAGAGGACCCAGGTTCAATTCCTGGCACCCACATGGCAGCTCACAACTGTCTGTAACTTCAATTCCAGAAGATCCAACACCCTCATACAGACATTTATGCAGGCAAAATACTAATGTATATAAAATGCAAATAAATGAATTTTTAAAAAAGAATGTTATTGCATTGTGTTTATATAGCACTTTATTTAGCCATGCCTTTATTGGTGGATTTGGAGCTGTTTCCAACCATTTCCTTTCCAGAAAAAAAAAAAAAAAAAATTTGTGTGTGTGTGTAAAACCTTGTTTTCTTTGTAATTCTCTTACGTCCAAGTATAGCTAGAGTGGTCAGAAATGAGAACAAGGATTCTGGGTGTAGGTGACAGTGGACCCTGCTCCATCACTCACTTGATATATAACTTTGGGCCATTACTCCTCTATGTTCTTGAACCCCATCACTAGGAACTAGAGATTCAATGAGCCTCCATATGTAATTACAATCTGCTAGTTGTCAGCCTCACTATCTTTAGAATAAATTCCCAGATACCTAATTACTAGGTCAAAAATAAAGAACAATCTTTGTGGTTCCTAGTGATTATTTTTTTAAAGATTTGTTTTAAATTTTTTTGTTTTTGTTTGTTGTTTCTTGAGACAGG